AGATACCATTGACCAAACATATAAAGCATTGGAGGAATTAAAGAAACATTTATTAATTCAAAATTTAAAAAAAGACAAGGACTACATACAGTTTCAAATTTTGCCCTCAGATATGCAATAAATCTAAGTTACAGGCTTTGAGAGCCCAAATGGTGGAACAAACAAATTGCCAAGTCTCACATATAAGGTCAATAACAGAATATGAGGTTCCTTTTAAAATTGAGGAAATGCTCAACATTGTCATGAAGTTCAACATTTAACTGGAGAGTAGACGCTGTCCTCAGCAAACTCTCTCTTCTGCCTTCCTCTTGTTTTTCTTTCAGAGAAATTAATTGAGGCGTAGTTTAGCTCTTCATCAGCTTCACCCTGCTTTATAATTAAAACCATGAGCAAAAACTGTAATAAAGAACTGGTAAAACAATATTTTAACTAACAATATTTGTTATTACTTACAGCTTGGTGCAATTTGTCATCTTGTGCTCCCGATATAGCACTTTCTGTTCCTGTAAATATGACAATATGTCAAAAATGCACTTAATGTGGCATTCGTTCCTGAATTTGTCTGACATGTACATATAGAATATATGTTTATTTTCCATTTTCCAAGTGCAATGAGATCATTTTTGCCTTTAAGAAAGACTATAACTTCTATAACACTTACCTTTATATGGTTTCCATAATCTTTGGTAGAAGATGAGGAAAACATTTCCAATGACAGAAATGGACAAGAACACTAATAAGGTCATATGGATAGATATTGATTGTGTTGTTTGTTCTGGAAAATAAAAACAAATAAATCTTCTTAAAAAGTCTTATGCCTCATTTTAGAACAACATGTTATTGTGTATTAATTCCAGTACTTAATTCATAATCATACCAAGTTCCACTGAAGATCCATTTCCAAATATTATCTCTCCACATGTGGCCACAGCGCAGTAGTAAGTCCCAGCATCGGAGGAGCTGACGTTCTTAGAGAAGCGATAAATGCATCTTTTCTGAGTCTCTGATCTTTTCTCACATTCATTTTTTCTATTTCCATCAGTGTAGATGATGTTTGGGTGAGATTTTTGTGCTCCTGCTCTGAACCAAAAGACATTATAATCTCCTGGACATGCCTGAGACTCAGAGAGGACTGAACACTCAAGAGTCACTGTGTCTCCTGGACGGACCGGTTCTGATTCTGTCGGCTGCTGGACAACAGAGTAGTTTGATATCCTCTGAATGTTTCCTTTATAATACAAAACACAAACATTCTTCAAAGCATGCTCAGAAAATATTTGATAAATTAGGGTGTAAAATTACCTTTTACTAACAGGTATGTCCCACTCCATTCAGCCTTAATCCACTCTGTGATTCCACAGTGATAGATCCCCTCATCCTCTTGGATTGTCTTCAGAATGATCAAGTTGCTAAAATTTTTATCATTATTTACATTAAATCTTGAATCT